GAATCCGCTGCAAGCCAGTCGTCCGCTCGTTCTGGCTTGCGAACACGCATCGATACTACGCACAAGTCGAGAGTGAGAAAGAGTACGTGAGCACAACAACACTCACTCAAGACATGTTGTGAGTGGCATGACGACGAGGGCGCACACACCTCCTTCCGCTGCGACGAAAAGTAGAGGCGGAGCGGGAAGCGTGTGGCCTTGTCGAGGAAGAACGGCGGCAGGGGGCTGATCTCGATCGGGTTCTCGTTGAGGGGCTCGGCGGCCTTGACCAGGTACCGGGGCAACTTGCCCGATGGATGATGCTCATCAGCGACGTCGTTGCGCTTGGGCTCGGCCTCCTTCTCCTTGGCGGCCTCTTCGTCATTGTCGTCGAGGTCCTCGTTCTTGGTGATGAGCAACAGGTCCGTGAACAGGAACACGTGGCACTCTGCACGCACCAGCCAACACCAACGTCACTCCTGGCGGAACAGGAAGTCCACCTTGCCTCGTAGGCACACACACACGACCGCACGCACCTTTGAAGTGCTTGCGCCCGAGTTGAATGAGCACCTTGCCTTCTTTGATGAACTTGCGGGCGGGGACTTCGCACAGGCCCTGACGGTGTCGGGTTGGGATCAGCCGGGCACAACGAAAGAGAGACGGGCGGTAGGTACGATTTTGGGTTTCGGGTCGAACACCAGCCGTGAGTCCAGCTCGGCCATCTTCAGCTCATTCTCGCTGTGCGACACAACGAGGGGGTCGGGTCACCACCTGTACCATCAAGCGTTGCTGGTGCGAAAAGGGCGTACTTGGCTCGTTTCTGTTCGTTGATGTAGTTGGCGATGTCCTTCACCTTCTTCAAGGCCATCTCCAACAGACCGGGACTGCATTGTATATGGGAGGACGAAGTGAGCACACGCCCTGTGTCGACACAGATGGTGAAGGGAATGGCTGGTGCGCGCACCGTGATCCGGAGGGCGTGTGGCGCTGGAGATCCTGTAAGAGTAGAGTGTAGCGCGGGATGCGTTGCACGGGCGTAATCAAAAGCGACGGCAGGTCATGCAGATTGCACTCTGTGTGAAAGGCAAACAGCATCAGCACGACACGGACGCACGCACGGCACACCAGACACACGAAGCAACGGCACGAAGCAATGCACACGCGTGTAGGGGCACCTGGCCGAGCCTCGCAATTGCGC